CAGAGAAGGAGTTGCAGGCCTCGCCCAGCGGCGAAACTCTGAACTCCGTCATGGACGATCGCATTATCGTCTCCAAATGTCGCGTTTCTTTGGCAATTAGTGGCATGTCCTGCAGTTCCTGTGTAAGCAAGATCAGCACCGCTTTACAGGACCGGCCGTGGATCGTCTCGTTAGATGTCAATCTGCTGACCAGCAGTGCAGTCGTGGTCCTCCTGGACTGCGCACACGTGGACGAGGTGCTCGAGACCATCGGAGGATCTGGGTACAACGTGGAGGTGGTCGACATCGAGGAGATCCGTCCGCAAAGAGCCACTAAACGGTCGGGAGCGATGGTGGACACCTGGCGAGCCTCCTACATCATCGAGGGCATGAGTTGCAGCTCTTGTGTTGGGAAGATAACCGACACTCTGAACCAGCACGAATGGATCAACAAGGTGGACGTCAATCTTGTCGCGGGCAGTGCTACGGTTGAGTATCAAGGCAAGGATCACCTGGAGGATGTTTCCAAAATCATCGGTGAACTGGGCTACACGGCCACCCTCAGCGATGTCGAGAGCCGAGATCCATCCGACCAGCCAACCTCGGATCGCGAGATTCAGATTCAGGTCGACGGTATGCACTGTGATAAGTGCCCCCAGCGAGTTATCAATGCCCTGGCAAGTGCATACGGTGACCAGGTCAAGGTGCTCGAGCTGCCCACCAATGCAAAGCCCCAGGTCAAGGTGCGCTATCTCCCGGAAACACCAAATCGGACCATTCGCCATATGATGCGTACCATCAGCGGCGTGGACCCGGCTTTTACAGTGTCGGTCTATCACCCACCGACATTGGAAGAGCGTTCGCACGACATGCATCGTCGGCATCAGTGGCAAATCGCCAGTCGCTTAATTCTGGCCTTGGTCATTGCTATTCCGACCTTCATCATCGGCATCGTCTACATGTCCCTGGTTCCTCATGACAACCCAGGCAAAGAATACATGATGGAACCCATGTGGGCAGGCCAGGCCTCGCGCACGGAATGGGCCCTGTTAATCCTAGCAACCCCAGTCTATTTCTACTCGGCCGGCCTGTTTCACCGCAAGACAGCACATGAGCTATACAGCCTATGGCGACCGGGAAGTAAAACGCCAATTCTCCGCCGATTCCTCCGCTTCGGAAGTATGGATATGCTTATGACCTTGGGAACCACAATTGCCTACTTCGCTTCCATCACCATTCTCGCCATCAACGCCACTCAATCTGCCGACGCGAAAAGATACCACACCGAGACTTTCTTCGACTCCGTCGTCTTCCTGACCATGTTCTTGATGATTGGCCGCTTGCTCGAGGCCTACAGCAAGGCGAAAGCAGGTGACGCGGTCGGTTTACTCGGCAAGTTGCGGCCAACCGAAGCCATTCTGATCGAGCAGGCCCATGGAGACCAGGCCGAGACCACACACACTCTTCCGATCGATCAGTTGGAGTTTGGCGATCTGGTTCGCGTGCCCAACGGTGCCTCCCCGCCCTACGATGGAAACATCATCAATGGAGCATCCCGCTTTGATGAGTCTAGTCTGACTGGTGAGTCACGTCCAGTCGAGAAGTCCGTCGGTGACGAAGTCTTCTCGGGAACCATCAACCAAGCCAATCCCGTTCTGGTGAAGATCACTCGTCTTTCTGGTGACTCAATGTTGGACCAAGTCATTGGGGCCGTACGGGAGGGTCAGATTCGCAGGGCTCCGATCGAGCGGACTGCGGACCTCCTTACGAGCTACTTCGTTCCCATCGTGACCCTAATTGCCGTTTTGGATTGGATCGTTTGGTTGGCGCTGGGTCTCTCAGGTCACCTGCCAGAGGCTTGGCAAGATGGTCCCGGTGGATGGGAGTTTTGGTCTTTGCAGTTTGCCATCTCGGTCTTTGTTGTCGCTTGCCCGTGCGGCATTGGACTAGCCGCCCCAACCGCGCTCTTTGTGGGTGGTGGCTTAGCCGCCCAGTATGGAATCCTCGTCAAGGGAGGAGGCGAAGCATTCCAGGAAGCTAGTCAGCTGGATTGTGTCGTCTTCGATAAGACCGGAACGATCACCGAGGGCGGAGAGCCTTCGATTACCAACCATCAAGTTGTTCACGAAGGCGGCAACCTCGGTGTTCTCTGGGGGGCGGTTTTGGAGCTTGAACAAAACAGCAGTCACCCGATCGCTAAGGCCATGGTATCTTTTGCCGCCGACCAGCAACCATCGGGTATCCAGACCATCACGGTGAATGAAATCCCTGGAAAGGGTCTCAAGGGTCTCTTTACGCCGGTGAACCAGGGTTCCAATTCTAGGTTCGAGATGATTATTGGCAACGAGGCGCTCATGCGGGATCATAACATCGATGTCTCCTCGGCTCACGTGGATACTCTCATGACTTGGAAGCACGAGGCCAAGTCGGTCGTGCTGGTTGGCACCCGTACTCAAGCGGCTTCAGCTCCAGACGCCTTTGTTCCGTGGCAGCTCTCAATCATGTTGGCAGTCGCCGACCCCGTCCGACCCGAGGCCATGAGTGTTCTGCAGGCCCTCCGCGATCGGGAGGTCGATGTTTGGTTGATCTCCGGAGACAATCCCACGACCGCAAATGCGGTTGGTAAAATTGTCGGAATTCCCGCCGACAATATCATCGCAGGCGTGCTCCCCGAGCAAAAGGCCGAGAAGGTCCGATACCTCCAACAAACCCTGCAGAAACCCACGAAGTCCGGTTGGTTCGGCGGCGAGAAAAAGCCCAGTTCAACACGGGCGATCGTGGCGATGGTTGGAGATGGTATCAACGATTCTCCCGCACTCACCGCGGCCGATGTTGGCATTGCCATTGGATCCGGGTCGGACATTGCTATCTCTGCGGCCGAATTCGTGCTGGTGTCGTCGGGTCTCACATCACTCCTGACTTTAGTCGACCTCAGTCGCGTGGTGTTCCGCCGCATCAAGTTCAACTTCGCTTGGGCCCTGGTCTACAACTGCATTGCTGTGCCAGTGGCGGCTGGCGTCTTGTATCCCATTGTGAGCAATGGAAACCACATCCGTTTGGACCCTGTTTGGGCAAGTCTGGCCATGGCTCTGAGCAGCGTCAGCGTCATTTGCAGCAGTCTGCTTATGAGAACTCGGCTGCCTTTGGTGGGCTTCAGGGCAAAGAAATAGATGCTTGGAATGTGCGCGTGCATGCAATAGGTCCAATTTGTGAAATTGTTTTTGTACAGAGCAATCTTGTAGGTATCACATTGAATGGGACTAACTCTTAGTGATTGAAGCAATCTTCTGCGGAGTGATTTTGCAAAGTAGAGCATTCAATGGTTTTTTGTATTGTATACCCGAGTTTCTAAGCATGCGCAATCAATATTCATCTGCCGAGAAAGTATCATCTGCCATTGAAAATTCCATCCTGGTCACGACAGTCATTCTAGCACTGAAAAAAGAAGAAACAGATTCTTAACCCCGAAACCGTCGCCCATCAATGGCAGCTGTGCTGTCCATTGCTACCGAGCTTCCCCCACCGATTCACTTGCGCCCAAGCCAACAATCCAAAACAGATCGAGATCCGCCACGCCATTCTACGACTGAGCCCCTCGCGCCGCACACCGCAGACAAGAGTTAGGATAGAAATCGCCAGAAAAGCATTTCGCAGTTTCTCGACGCTAGCAGCGGCCACCGAACCCGCGAAGAGGAAATCCAGGACAGTCTAGCAACTTAGTATAAGCATCCAACAGTCCAGTAACATAGAGTTATAACATACCGGCAGCCAACAACACGAAGAGGAAAGCAATGCGGATCCTTCGGGTAAAAATTTGACGATTAACTGGAACAGGCGTCGTAGAAGAGTCCCATCATGGTTCTGGGCAGGCTTGGACGAGGGTTTTTCTGAGCGGCAGTCGTCGTATGACATGTTAAATTTTTTTTGTAAGGAATGTTATGGGGGAAATAAAATTCAATCGGCTTTCAATGCTACACTGTGAATATGGGTCTAAAGGTTTATAAAGGTATCGTTGTGGATTACCGTTTTGCGGGATTTTCGCGTCCGATAATCCTCCACATCTGATATACAAATACATGCATTGCGATACAAGTTACCCGTTCCTCAGGTCCTCCGGCAAAGCGGGCACTGATTTCGATAAATAACGACAGCCATAACTTATTTATATGGGATATGATATTGAGATCAGAGTGATGAGTAGCGACGGCCAATTCTAACCAGATGCAGATTGATGTTTCGTGGGACCTTTGCCTTTCATCTTTGCAAGGGTAAGTGGCGCCTAGCATGATGACAAAGCCCACAGAAGCATGGACCTCACAAGGCGATCTTGGCAAACAAACCTGGAGATGAGGTAAGTTGATGCATCATAAAGGCATTTTCGAATGCAAAAACACAGCGAATAAGTCAAAGTTGACACATTCTGGAGAGAAGCACTTCTAGTATCGAAAATGTCATATAACTTATAAGTGACGAAGATCTACTACATGCATCTTCGCAGACATGCAGCAGACGTTCATCTCATCGTCTTAGCACTAGGGATCCGAAAGGTGAATATTCATGAATACTTGCGAATATGAATAATATGAATTGAATAATAGGAATATAGATAAGCCTTTGATTCATATTCGCAATATTCATGAACATATGATTAATTCATATTTATTCGTATAATAAGATACCATACATTACCATTCGTTTCATTACATCCAAATACATCAATCATGCTCAGACACTTTGTTCCATAGCGAACTATGTCCCTATCTCTAATTTGGAAGCACTGAAAATTACAAGCATGCAGCACTGAAAATTTATATCTGAGACTTTCCCCTCAATAGCATCAGCCATCGCATAGTCTCCGCGTTCAAACGGTACCTCCGGAGGCCCAAGTGTTCTTCCGCAAGACCCAGTAACACCCAGACCCAGACTGGGTTGGGTTTTGGGTCGAGCCACACGCCTTGACGTTTCAACCTATGATCTAAAATTGGGGCCATATACAGTCCGACCGTGCCAATCGCGCCCAAAATCCCCCTTTACGGCCCCTGGAAGCAAGCCTGGTAAATTGAAAAGGTAAAACCGCGTCATTAGTATTGCTATGAACGTGTTGTGATGGATGTAAATGGATATTTCCTATTACGGGGGTTCAACTTGAGGCCACCCTATTGGCCGGAGCTCTATCTCACGATAAGATAAAATCCATAGCAAAACACAAACACACGCACAAGGGGGATATGAAGACACGCTTTGACTGGCTTTCGCATCCTTCTGCAATCACGACCAGTCCACAACCGGATCTTAGACAAGGTCAGACTCATCACCAAATAGCTCTTAAATAGCTCTGATACATACGTGCGGGATGTGCGCCCATAGCACCAACCGCAATGTGAGGTCAAGACTGTTGTAATTCAGAGGTATGAATTGACTTTTTATTTCAGAGTGATACATGTGCCTATATATATAACAATGAGCCAAGTTGATTGGAAATCAACTTGGTCGTTTGTATAGACACTTCGGAGCTAATTCCGACGGTGCGGCTTGGTTCCTGACCTGCACCAGCCTCATATCACAACAAAGACGCGTCGACGCGTGTCGAAACCAGCGGTGTTTCTAGCACCGTGCCATCCACGCTGTCAACAGACTCATCCGGCTTCTCTCCACGTTTTGACGCGGTTTCCTCCTGCACCTGATGGACCTGCAACACCTGCATTGCCTCGCTTATTCCCCTTGTGACACGAACCAACTCGTCTTCCAGGTGACTGGCTCGAGATGATATACCGCCAAGTTCGTCTTGAAGCCGAAGGGTTTCTGCGTGCAATTCGTTCTCTCTGTGGAGGGAGTCCTCTAGATGCATGCGGGTGCGGTCAAGCTCGCTGCTCATTTCACGGTTAGCGCATTCCAATTCGCGGATTCTTGCCGTGAATGAACCACTTTCTCTTTCGTCGCTCCAGGCCGACTGCGTCTTGTACCATTAGCGCTGTGCAGGCCCCAGAGGCGGCTTGATGGGTTGAAATGCTCACCTCTTCTTTTGCCAGGTGGCCCCGTTCAGATTGGACAACCTGCAGCGTCTGCGGAGAAACCGCCTCAAGCGACCGGCCCAATTCTTCGCGAATAGACCGATACAAACCGACACTTCCACTGCCCAAGTTCGACTGCAATAGACTCTTTTTGGATTCCGTCACCGACCAAGCGTATCCATCCCCCGCAGATGGCTGCAGACGGACTTGGCTGGGAGCGACGACAAGGCCGAGTCGGTTGTCTGGAAGGATGAGTTTCTTTCACCAGGCGGAGGGAATATAGTGACCTACGGATGTGGGCAGCCAATGCCTCTCGGCACTGTTGTCTGAAGAATGCGCGCTTCTCATTGCTGCTGAGGACCATGACTTTTTTTGGTCCGTCAAAGATGGCCGCAGGCTCACATGTGTTTATAGATATTCAGTCCATGCGCAAAATATCTTAGTCAAAACATCGAGCACTTACCATTCAGCGGTCGTCGTTTGATCGTTCATGCATGTTCACCCCTGTGGGTCCAGCTGGATAACCGAAGATCGAAGTTCAAACGTTGAAAATCTTGACCAGGTCAAGTCCGAGCAGAAGTGGTCGCCATGAGTTCTTTAGCAATTACTACCAAAGAATCGGCGGGGCCCTGTTATCACGGTGATTCCAGTACCGTCTGTCTCCGCAGACATGATCAAATTTCGCTTCTGTCGTTTTCGAGGCTGTTCGGGCACGCCCGGCATCCCTTCGAACCAAAACACCCAGGGCGATGCGACTGCAGTGCTTCGATCCTGCTCCATGGGAAAAATTGTCCGTGGGGGAAGCCCATAGATTGCTGCTTTCATATTGAGAGCAACCATTGGAAAATATCGCCTCGAACTGTCCAAGTTGTCGAACACAGCCTCTTTACTACCCTGAGTTACGAGCTGCTGAGTGCAGCCGCACGGAGCACGTTCGTCTGGATGGACAACTAAGAAGAGCAAGTTAGAGCCTCGAATGAGCACAGTACATGGCTAATGACATACCTTTGCCCCCATGCAAAACCTCCGGCATCAAGCCCGTGCATTCCTCGTGTAGAACCACGCGATATGCCACCTGAGTGCCACAAAGTCTCCCAAGCAAATCTGTCTCATTGTCATCCCAGGTGACCATCATCGTCCCCGGTAGAGTCTGCTTCAAAGCGACGTTACGTGGCATAAATCGAAGCCTGTGTCTGACATCTCGCATCATTTCATTTTCATCGTGGAATGAAATGGGCAAAATTGAGGAGATTGTCGCGAGTGATATCCTCAGGAGCTCTTCGATAACATGATCGCAGAGAAGCACTGCATCCTGCCCAGCCATGCTATCCGGAACACCATCTCTACAGGCATACTGCAGGTTCATGGTGTCGAAATCCAGCCACTTCTGATGGATCATCAAAGCATGGCGATTTGCATCGAAAGCGACCTCGATACCACTGATATCACTTTGGACAGTGTATCCTCACGTGCTCTGTCTGTTTGTACATGGCAATACATGCCCGCAAGGCTCTGAATATCGTCCTTCCGAAGGTCGATTCTGGTAGGGCGCACTCCGTACCTCTGAAGAGCTTGACCTGCTCTTCCTCTGGGGTTCTTATTGGTGAGCTTTGACGCAGCAGATCCCGTAGCATTGTAGGAAGCATTGCTGGCTCCTTCTTCAGGTTTCTTTTGATTATGGAAATACCCTGTATAGCATCAGTTCACTACTCCAGCAATCGGTATCCCACAAACCTTAGCGTTGCATCTCTCGCTATAGAAGAACCGTTTGTTCTCGGTTTCAAGCAGGAGATGCTTCCATATCAGGCTCCTTGTGGAATCTTCCAACAGCCGATCGGCCGACTCAACGTCTGCTGCTTGAGAGAAGCTTCGGAGGAGATTGACGTAGATCGAACGCAAGACCATCTCATGCTTGCGAATTGCAGACCCATATGCGCCGCTCTGCGTCGGCTTCTTCACTCCAGTCAGACAGCATGTTTCTGTCCTGACCGAATCTTCCCTTGGCAAATTTATAACCGAACTTGAATACCCTGGAAATGGAGGCAGGTGCAGAAAGAATCATTTCTTTGACGTAGATCTTACCTTGGGACCTCCGGTCCAGGATAAGGTCCCCGTCGTCGGTTTCGACGATATATGAGGGGGAGAGGGACCGCGAACGTCCAAAGTCACCTCCATCCATTCCTTAAACACCGCAAAAGATACCGACTGATCGTTTCTGTGGCGCCTTGCTCCGATAACAACGGTGACTTCCCTGTTAAGACGAGAGCGCAATCGAGCCATATCGTTCGCCGCGTCTGCCTGGGAACTGGAATCGGTTTTCTTCGACGGACATATCACGCAGCAGAAGCGTGATCCGCATGGCCCCTGCAAAGAAAATCTCCAGTTACAGTTGCTTGTAGCGACTTTCACTTTGTAACCATTTCGGGACATTACCAACTCAGCCAGCTTGAGTCCTTCCCCATAACACCCTGCAAGGTTGGGATTGGCATGTTTGGTCGTGTGTCCAAGCTGCAAGGCTTCAGGTTGGAGTTGAGCACAGTTGTTCGCCAAGATCACTCGGCCTGTCTTCTCGTATTTGATATATCCCAAGGCCCGGCGGCGCTTTCTTTGATCCGTAGGATCTGGTACGACAATCGAGATGCAGTCACCCATGTCTTCATAGTATGGCTGAAATTCCAGGCGGTCTAGATCAAATCGTTCCAGGATGGCATCTCTCCTATTTCACATTAGCGTCGGTCAAGAGCAGAATAGGGTCGCCTGACCAATTTTGATAGAATTCCAGAAATGCGTCGGTAGAGTCCTAGTCTTCCACATAACTCGGCGAGATAGTGAGTGTAACGCTCATCTGACGCTCCAAGCTTGGGACTTCATTGTATGTTTCATTTGACTGCAATTCGCGTTCGAGTTGGTCGCTCGCTTCTTTCTCCGCATCGTTCGGTGAGTAATCATCGCTCTCGAGAGAGCATTCATTGGTAGGTAAATCCGTAAAAGCAGTAGACGTACAGACTTCATGAGTTGGTCATGGATCTTAGGAATTGGCCAAGGCTTTATAGACAAAATATGATATAGTCAGGTGATGGCCACAGTCTCAACCCAGTTTCCGACTCTAGCTGCTCAAAAATACGTGGGAACAGTGGGCATTCAGCTTCTGAGGGGTTGGACCCAACCGACCCCTACTCCTGTTTTGAACGGGCTGTTCATCAGCCGGTCCAGTCCATTTCGCAGAATGGTAATTTTGAACGGAGCACTAATTATGTTTCTCACTGTGTTCTTACGGCAGACGGAACATGCGTACATTCCCAACCACCATATTCCTGCATCTGATTTCCGAGTTATTTTCCCCTATTTGGCCTCCAAAACTGAACATCGTCAGTGGCATCAATGGCGTTAGATTTGTACTAAGATCCAATTCTCCCCACGAATATGCGGTCCTAATATTGCAATACGGTGGGCCAGTGAACATTTCACTATATTGTCTCATCTATATGCGGCCACCGAAGTATGCCACTGATGTCTCCTATTTTTTTCCCAAATTTGCTAATTGGGGGATGCGAGAAAATGATTACTAGACGATGCGCAGCAAGAATGGAAATTCTTCCCCATACTCCGCATTTGAAGGGGATACAAAGGGATCACAGAATCACAATGGCATGAGGTAAATAAATAGCCTTGATTATCCAGTCATGACTTCATAATCTGCTTACACTATTCGGCGTAATGGTTGACAAGAACTCTCTTCGGTGCTCGCATCGTGCGCAAGATACAACTGGCACCATGCCGTTGCTTGACCATCAACTCAACACACGGCCTTCTAGGAAGTCCAAGGCAGCCAACAACCCAGATCTACCACCTTTGAAGCGAGCACAGGCTATGCTTCGACGGCGGCTTCAGCAGAGATGCTTGAGATCTGAAACGCGGTGGGAACCTATCATGGGGTTTGATACACATAGTGAGGCACTGAAAGAAAAGATGCAACACGAGAGATGCATTGCCCAGGAGGAAGTTCGACAGGACTGGATGCGACGCCTGCGACCCAAGCCTCACCGAGCATGCCCGCGGGTACAGTACTGCGAGACGGGAGCAGACCAACAAGGCTAGCAGAGCTTGGATCTAGTTGATAGAGAAGAAGCAATGCCCAAAGAGTCGAGCCTTCGTTTACAATGAGTTGTTTAAGTGCGATGAATAAATCGAGTCATTGCGATGCATGCTTCTACAGCCATGAATCTACACCAAACACGGTAGAGTAATCCAGATGCGATGCTAATGGGACACCCTCCCAAAAAGCTAGCTGTCTTAGAAGATTCCTCTATAAGCCTGTATGCCATTACATTAGAGCCGTAGCTATATGTAACAGAAAGTGGGCTATCTAGATAAGCTTACAGCCCAGGGGTGAGCATCGGTGCAAACTCATGCTGATAATGGAGATGCCATTGAGCAGAAAATGCGAGCTGTGAACGGTCCTAATATAAAAGGACAATAGCAAGTTTCTGAGGGCAGTTTGCGCTGGTCGGATTTACATGGAGCGAACATTTCAAGCTGGACAGGCGCATATAGTTGAGGGCCTGCTAAACATACACGGGCAGTATTTGGTGGGCCTTGTCTAGTTCCCATCTTCACCAACAGAGTAAGCCATTCACAGTATAAAAAGACGTTGATCCACGGGATGAATATCTAGCAACATCTTTCATCGAAAATTTTAGCAATGGAGAATCCCAGCAAATCACCAGAGGTGGCAGACGGACAAGGAGAAGCAGCGCCGTGCACACAATTCAGCTGGACTGAGGATGCTACGACGTCCAGCCACGAAGTCCAGCAACCGGTAAGAAGAACAAATGACCGCAGAGAACACTGCTGACCCCCTACACATAGAAACGCGACACCAAGAAGGATAAATTGGCCGCTGAGCCCTTCCAGCCCGTGCTTGAGATCTTGAAGCGGCTTGAAGAAGAAGATCCCAAGCTTGCGTTCCAGGCTGCACGCCTGGTGGGACTCTATCGGCGTTTGTGGGAGTCTTGTGTCTCCAAGCACGTAGATAGCCAGCAGATTGAAGCGGCAAACGAAAAGCTGCGGACTGGAAATATTCAGTTGTGCAACGAAGGGAACCACTTGAAGCACCGCCAGGATGATCAGGTTGCTCGCTTGCATGCCATCGACGATGCATTGGATGAAGTCCGGGGAAAGCTCATCGGTGTGCTCAAAGTTTGGAGCGAACGGTCGGTCGGTGAATTGGCTATTTTGCCGGAAGATGAGTTTCCCAGAGGTTGATGTTTGCGCGGAATGGATTAAACTTGTCCTGGAGCTGCGGGGCTGACTTCTTGGCAATTAAATGCGCGACGATAGCAATTTTGTGATAGCCCACCAATAAAGTCTTTGATCGTGTGTGCCGTGAATTTGTTGGTAGCCTAGGATGTTGCAAAAGTCAATTGCTCACCGACTGAGGCTCCAGCATTTTGTACGGCGAAATATGATGGAATCACCCAAACAGTGACGATCAATATTTGAAGCTGTAAATGTCAGAATAGACTGCAAATAATGGTGTTGACCGGGTTAAGCCAGCATTTACCTCTAGCGCTAGCAGCCAACAGGACAAAGCGGCCCCCAAGACTGCAATTAGAAGAAGAACGACTGCCACCCCAATCATGCAATACAAAGCGCAACGCATTTGTGATCGCGTTCGGGAGTTGGCAGTTGTATGTCCATTTAGCCACCACAAGAAAGAAACCAAGCCCAGATAATCCAAGAAAAGAGAGAAGAGCACGACGATTCGTAGAGGAGGATAAATGTAAGTACCCAATGTCGTGGCCATAATCTTGATCAAGCACGAGAAAAGCGTATACAGTGGTAAGAAGATCATCAACTGAGATGGTGCACTAAGCAGGCTGCGTAGAAAAACGCTTATTCGGAGATACTGCCGTTGACGGTTAACGTGCAACCGACTCACGGCATGATGGCACGTACCACAAGTAAAAAGGGAAATAGACTGGACACGCCAATCATTACTTCTCTCCCAGTTTCACACGTTTTGCTCCAGCTAAAGCCCATGTGTACTGCTAGCAGAACAAGGTTCGGTGCAGATACGGCGAGGTCGAGTGTCTGGTGTAATCGGCTTTTCTGGACTGCTCGACGAGAGAGCACGAAAAGTGCGAAGCTGGCAAGAAGCAGCGCGGTGGCCAGAGGCGCTTCCACTTGAGTTGAAATGTGCATAACTCAATGACTAACTTGTGGTCATGGGGTCAGTAGGAAGGGAATTTAGATTGGAATTACGCTCTAGATAGCAGTTGCGGTGTCTACTAGATAGCCTCTGTTGCAAAAGCTGTAGATTTTGACATCATGCAGCCATCTCATTCACAACATGTAAGCAATAGAGGGCTCAGATGCTTGTTATTTACTCTCTATTCGTCGCGAGTCACCCCGACTAATCGAGTGCCCCAGGAGCGGCCCAGGGATTCCCAGGAGCTCCTGAACTCCCGGGAACACATAGATGGGTCCTAGGAGCTAAATGCCGGTAAAACTACCACGACACCTACTACCTCGGCCCATAAGAAGCCACTTACAATTTGCTTTTTATTCTACTATCATTCTAAAGTTGAACACTGTAGATCGGAAGTTGGTCATGCAGAAGAGACCAAGCCAGATTAGTTAAGCAACATAGAGGTTCAGGGATGCGTAACGGAGGCAGGACACCACTGTCACACATTCATTACATACTTGAAGACGGTCCGTCAAATCATTCTCATAGATAAAGAGACACCGCTCCTAAGAATGTTAAATATCGTGCACAGGACGTATAACAGGCATAGTGAAGAGTGCCCCGCCAGCATACCTCCCAGAAGCAGGTGGGCCGCTTCCTAGGAACAGTCAGACCATATCCTGGGAGCCGTATCGCTCCCAGGAGTACGTCATCACAATCCCAGGAGTACATCCTCACAATCCCAGGAGCCTGTAATGCTATAACAAGCAGACAATCTCCTTTGGTGATGACGGCAGCAATACTCAGGCATTTTTTTTGGAACATATTTAAGCGAGGCATTAGGCTCAAAAATTAGTAGCTGTCAATTCTTTAAATCCGACTATACAAACTACCAAGATGCCTCCACAGAGAAGACAACTTGCGTCGCATCGCCCGAGCCCCTTTCCATTACACAACACCCATCGAGGTCAGTATGGAACAAAAGTATAAAGTCAGATCTGACCTGACATTGAAACAGACACCCAACGCCCACTACAAAGATTTGAGAGAATCATCACGAACATATACGCTGAAATGTCAAAAATGCAACATCAGCAGCACGAGGCAATTATTATGCTGCGAAATTATGAGAACGTGTTACGCAAGCAAGAAACCGAAAAAGCTGAACTGGAGGAACAGAACCGGTGGTTGTTTGAGCACATCAAGACAACTCACCAAAAGGCTTGTGGCCTAGAGCTCAAGAATAGGGAACTAGAGTACCAGGTGGCGAAGGAAAGGCATGAGCGCCCGGACCACCCCGCAGAAAAGCAGAGCTAAACGCCTTCTCTACATACCGCTGTTGCTATTCCTCCGTTTATCTATCGTGTTCCGAGGATTTCAGACAACCAGCTTTAGGGACCAACATTGGAGGAATTATGGGTCTGCTTGCCGGCTGGGTGAACGCTCCTGCTTTAACGGTGCAAGAAAAATACTGAAGGATTGTTTTGTGCGGGAACTGATATCATGTTTGTGGGGGAGTACACCAGGACATTGCTGTGCTTGAGCCAGCAAGAAAAGGACCGGTGGGAAAGAGAGCCGACCTCTCACCTCCAGAACTGCAGTGGATAAATTTTCTTGCTAGCCTCAGAAAGAACCATGAACAATGAAATGCCCAGCCGGCTCTATAAGTAGCTCATTCCTCCTTT